TACTTAATTGTCATGGAAATAAATAATAATAATAATTATTATTATTATTATTACTATTATTATTATTATTATTATTATTAAGAAATAATAATTATCAATTCTCATTTATGTTACTTAACTGTCATGAAAATAATCAGCACGATAATCACTATAATAATAATAATACATAATAATAATAATAAAAACATTAAAAACAATTATCATTTCTTATTTTTATTAATTGTCAAACAAAAAACAATCACATCACAATTATAATAATACTAATAACACACAATCTTATATAATAATATAATTTATTTATATTTGTAATTATTGTGATGTGATTATTTTCATGACAATTAAAAAAAATAATTGCTGAAAAAATAATTTTTATTAAATAAAAAATATACATTGAGGGCAGAACAACAACACCATTACCATATACCATTATTTATAAATATTTTTCAATTTAATTTAATTACTTTTTTTTTTTTTTTTGCATTACAGCAGCAAGATTGTTAGGAGAAAATGTGCTTAACTGTCATAAAAATAAAGTAGTATTGCCTAATATTTTACTGGTCTGTATGAGCTAGGTTTTGTAAGATTCACCCTAAACTCTTGCAGCATTTTTCTCTAGTAGTCCAGTAGTAAAAGTCAGTGAACCCGTACCTCCAGCTGGTCCTGGTACTCCTGCAGGTCATCCAGACCGCAGCGATCCGGCTCACATCTCACAGCCATCTCACTCTCCATCTCCAGCACATCTACGGCGAGTTCGGCACAGCGCTGCAGACACTGCTCCACGCGCGCTGACACCATGGCATGCTGGGTAACGAGGAGGAGACGAATAGGACAGAGAATAGTGAATGCTTATATTACCAAACATGTTTTCTTGCCAGGTCTGCCTCAACACAAACAAAAGTTAATGTGACGTAATCCGTTTCCGACTCTACTCACCCTGGTGAGCAGTTCCTGGATGCTCTGGTCATGTGACTGCGAGCGGCCCCTCTCCCGCGCCGTGTCATTGAGCATCTCAACAGCTTCTCTGAGCTCCTTCACAGGGTTCCCAATGGCTTCCATCAGGGGCTCATCATGTCCTCTCACCGGCAAGCCCAGAAGAGACGGTCCAGAGTCAAGCTCTTATATTATTTTAAAAGTCTTATTTATAATAATAATAATAAAAATAATAATCCAACAGAAATTATGGCAACTTAAACGGATGGAACCAGAGATGATGCTTACAATAATTAAAAATTTTTTTACAGTGCAGCTCATGGATTGTTGTTCTATGCTGGATTCGAACCAGCAACATTTCTGGTTATCAGTAAACCACACCATCTTCTTATCTTCTTTATCTCCAGTGCTAACATGCTGCCATTATCAATGCTAGAAAACAGTTGAGCATTCCTGAAGTTCAAATACATGGGTTTGATTCCCAGCCAAATGCATGAAACCTTCGCTGCAATGCAAGTCGCTTTGTATAAATGCATCTGTCAAATGCATGAACGTAAACGAACTGGAAAAACTTATCTCAACAGCTTCTCTGAGCTCCTTCACAGGGTTCCCAATGGCTTCCATCAGGGGCTCATCATGTCCTCTCACCGGCAAGCCCAGAAGAGACGGTCCAGAGTCAAGCTCACTGCACAGCGGCTGGAGGAACACAGTTCAAAAATGAATAAACCAGGAAATCAAACAGACCAGACTACTTTAAGTTCTCTGGAATACTTGATTCTGATTGGTCGATCCTGCCATTCTGATCAAATATTTGAGTGTAATGACACTGAACTGTATAATTAACAGTTTTTTCCCATCACAGCTGTGCTAGTTTGATGTCTCATATCACTCCATAATCTCTTTCATCTCATATAATAAAATCATTTAAACTCAAATCAATATTGCATGTCTATTTATTCATTTGTTCAGAGTAGTGCCAAGTTCATTGCACCTCTTCACTTATTTTGAATGTCATTATGAAATAAAATCTGAATTGTTCTGGCTATGAGTTACAACAAATTGATTGACGGATTGATTCCAATAGTTTGACATTAGCATGTTGCTAAACCATCAACATGATACTAATAATTATAACAATACACAGCGCGCACAAACACACACACACACACACACACACGATTACGGATTATATTATTAAATTAATGATATTAGTTTTTATAAAAAGATTTATCAGTGTAATATAATATAAACATTACAAATTTAGTTCATAAGTTTTATCTAACCACGCCTCCAGACTGGCCAGAGACTGCAGCATCCGCACCACCTGCCAATCACAGTCACACAACTCGCAATGATCAATTAAACACAGCTGCTGTGGTCGGTCTGTCACAGTTTATACAGGAAATATTCTCTGCAATGCACAAATCACAAATACACTCATGAGACAGAGCAGACCATTGCCTTGTGAGATATAATATTCCATGATTCCATACTGAACAATTAACAAACTGCATGCATTTGGCAAAAATATGATTACTCTGGATTTGAAATCAAATTTTGTGAATATCTTCTCTTTTGGCAGTCCAATGAAATAATGAGTCAAAGAGATTAAAAAAAAATGCAAATATGTCCTAATATTTAATTCATTTTATTTTTGCCCTTTTTATGTTACTTTCATTTTGTTTGCCTGCTATTGTGTTATTTGTATTATACATGTATTCAACTTACAACTTTTGCATTGTGACATTATTTTCAAGATAATTAAGCGCATTTTCTATCAAAAATCACTAATGCAGCGACACATTTTATTAGATTTTTCTGCATTCCCCATTACATTTTCAAAACTGTAACAAAGTAAATATTAAATGCAACAAAACAAAAAAAATTGCAATATATTATTTTTATTTTATAATCGCATAAAAGAAATATGTAATCTAGACACACACACACACACACACATATATATATATAGCATTATAGTGATGAAAATGACATTAAAATATAATTTTTTTTTTTGCAAAAAATTTCTTCCTGCAAAATACACTGTACAGTGTCTACTATTTATGTGAAACAGTATGCAAAATGCACTGATCAATATTTCAAACAGTAGTCGTGTTTCATAACATAAGTTACACTGCATGTATAATCCATCTTGTAAACTAATACTGTTTTTGCATTTTTATTCCAGTTTTGAGTAATTTTTTTGTCAGTGCAATAAAAAAAAGGTCAACTCATGATTGATAGCATTTCCTGTTCATCACACTGGAAATGGACTCTCAATGTTGCATGCACTGCATTGTGGGATACAGTACTCCACACAGTGTGCTCTAGTTGTATGTGGGCATTTCTTGGCATAATAAATGGCATATGTTGCTCAGTATACAAACTGCACACTACTTTCTTTCAACAATACAAGGCAATATGCCATTCCAAACATTCAGGGAAACCCCAGATATATGTACCCTGTAGTTGAGCTCCTCTGAGACCTTCAGGACCAGACCGTTCCTCTCATGTCTTCTCTTCAGCTCGTCCCACAGAACCTCCAGCTGACTCAGAAACTCCTGGATCTTGATGCTGCCCGGATGCTGAGCCCTCACCAGACTGTAACCCTCCTGGATGGGAACAAGACGTCTGACAATTTTCACATTTGAAATAATTTATGCATACATATTTGTTAAATATATAATATTCACATTATTTTATAAGTCTCATTTCTAATTCATATTAATAATATTAAACTAAGTATAATTTTAATAATAGTAATTTTCATTATGGTTAAGGACTAATATTATTTTTTATTACATGTGATAATGATATTAATTTTTTATAATATTTATCAGTATAATATACATTTTATAGCATTGCTATTTTAAATAAATTATATATGCATGTATGTGTGTATATATTAGTTAATATAAATATAATTTATATATAATTAAATTAATGCTAATTCAATTAAAAATAATGAATAATGATTTAATTAAAAAAAATAAGTTATTTTATTATTAATGAGCAATAATAATTATTATAAAATTTGACAATTATATTAATTTTATAACATTTATCAGGATTTAGCAGGATTTAATATAAACAAAAACACTTTTCAATTAAGGTAACAGCATCAATCCTGAACACACACATTTAGACAAAACACAACTACAAAACAAGGCTAAAACGGCCACAAAATAAAACTCAAAACACACTATTTTAAATAATTAAGTCAAAAACATATCAAATGACTTACTATTTTGAATCAGCTCACTGAAATGAACCATCCAAACGAATTAATTTGCTAATTAATTAATAAAAAATGTAATTTAAAATTAAATGTATCAAACTTACACGATATTTAATTGATGAGCAGAAAGAAAAATCATAAAATACACAATTTCGTCGTATTCAATTTAATTATGATTTAAACTAGAAAAGTAAAAAAAAAAAATTTGAGTATTTATTCTCTCAATAAAATGTGGCATGCAGTAAGAAATCATTGCACTACATTTCTACTTGTTGGAAAAAGTAGCTTCTTCTAAGCTTTTTTTTTTTTTACACAATAACAACTTAAGTCATGTTAAATCTCCAGAAATTGCATTACCAATAGACAAAAGTTAGTGTTAGATGAGGTATGTGTGCACAGTGAACACTCTCACCTTCTTGACCAGCTCTATCCTGGCTCTGTTGGACAGGATATCCTGTTCCAGTGAGGCCTGGCGCCTCTTGGCTGCTTCAAAACCGTTCGGCCCGGCCAAACTGCAGATCTGAGTGGCCATCGCAACGCTGTCTTTGAGCCAGGAGAGAGTCTGTGGAGAATACAAAGAGAACATGAACATGTTCAAAACACCTAGAGACTCCCTGCATAGGCAGCGGTCTAATCCACATAAACTGCACAAGAGATGCACCACTGACTCATTCCTATACAGTAGTCAGACATTAGCATGTTGCTCAGCTAGCAACACAACACTCTAATAATCATAATACAAACAACACAAATATTAAATATGAAAATAACCTACATTTTCACTAGAACTATGTTTAATGATATTTAAGTAAGTTATTGAATGAATTCTAATTATATTTATTCTAAATTTATTCTAAGTTTTAGTATATAATAATAATAATAATAATAATAATAATATTAAACTAAGCATTATAATACTAAGCGAAGTATAATTTTAATAATAGTAATTTTTATTGATTAATGACTATTAATAATTTATTAAATTTTATTTTAATATATATCAGCATAATATGCATTTTTATAATATTGCTATTATCTATCTAGCTATCTATCTATCTATACACACACATGTATATATATATATATATATACATATAATTTATATAAATAAAACTGATGCTAATTTATTTCAGATTTATTAATTAAATAATATTCATATTTTAAAAGTCTGATTTCTAATTAATATTAATAATATTAAATTAAGAATAATTTTAGTAATAGTAATTTTCATTATGGTTAATGACAAATATTAATAATTATTAAATTTGATAATGATATTCACTTTTATAATATTTATCAGTATAATATAAATGTGCTATTTTAAATCAATTAGATATATTAGTTAATATAAACAACTGATATAAAAACAATTGATGCAAATTTAAAATATTAATGTTATTTTAAGTCTGATTTCTAATTAATATTAAAGTATAATTTTAATAAGTTTAATAAGATTTTTATTATTATTAATGATCATTGATAATGTATAACTATCATTTATAAGTATCATACAATTATAGTCATTTTATAACATTTATCAGTATAATATAAATAAATATATGTGTGTGTATTTGTATTCTTATTATTTTAAAAGTCTGATTAATAATTAATATTAATATTTTTTTATATTAAAGAAACCTGTCTTTTGGAACAGCCTTTATGTCAAGAGCACACCTACTACCAAGAGTACACCTACCTAAAGGCGTCCTAGGTAGATAGCTTACTAGGTTTTAGAAATGCTTTCCAGGTAGTCAGCTCACTAGGTTTTTAGAACCGAACCGAGGCATCACATTCCATGATTTAAAAAAAAAACAGGAAGACATATTTCTAACAGAAAGAGACGAGAGATCCTTATTTAGACCTGGCTGACCTCTGAACCGCTGGCTGCTCGGCCCAGACTGGGTTCAGAAGCCGCCAGCTGCGTTTTCAAGACAGAACAATTCCTGGAAGTCACACACACAACCTGATCCTCATGCAGTTAGCAAAGACCCATCAATCAGCCTCTCGGGAGTTTATTCTGGAGGAGTCCAAACTCTCAACTGAACCGCAGTAAAGCGGGAAGAGCTTCCCTGTTCTGTCTGACTGGACGCAGTGGGTCTTTCGCAGCATAAGCGATTGTGTAAGTCTTGTGTAATGGTAATAAATAGGCACCTTGTCTGCAGAAACGGTGAACTTCTGGAGTTGCGTGTGGAGCGGCGTGTGGCCGCTGGACTCGGGCCTCAACGCGTTCCCACTGTAAAGCACGACACAGGACCTCTATTTAGCATGCATCTTTAATTTGCATGCGTGCAAAAATTTTCCGACGTGGAAATGTCACCTTTCAGTGGCTGTGTGGAGTTTGAGGGGGACATCGCTGGCACAGGCATCCCGGCTGTCTGCGGGCTTCCCGTAGCACTCGGCGTCTCTCCCGGCCTGCGGAGGAAAACACAAGGTGCGTGTTCATCCAGCAGACACTGATGTGTTTAAGCACCCACAATGGACCCTTGTGTGCTGGTTTAAAACACGGTGGTCCGTCGTGATACTGACGCGTCACACGCTGCCCTGAACTGCGTGGTTGGCTGGTAACCCCGGTTTGAATATCAGCATGCGGTTGGAGGTGCGGACAGTGTGGATGTAATCCCAGACAGAAAGGCAGTCACTTTTTTCTGGAAAGTTACAGTAAGCAGCGCTGTTCAACAGGCTCCAGCGTCACATGAGGAAGCCAACATGGGAAAATAATTATTCTGTATAATCGCCGTCATGTCTCGAGTAGAAGGTCACTGCTTTTTCATGAACATTACAACAGCTGTGAACAACATGATACACTAATCATAACAAGAACTCGCAAGTATTGAGGGGAAATAACCAGCATTAAATTTATTGATGCTCGGTTATTAAATAAATTCTAACATTTATTCTAGACTTCCATATTATTATTAATACTATTATTTTTATTATTAAAATATTTTTTTATTGATGCTAAGTTATTAAATAAATTCTAAAATGTATTCTAGACTTCTATATTATTATTATTATTATTATTATATGTGATGCAAAAATAATTTATATTTATTAAAAATATTTGTTTTAAAGAAATTATTACTTTTATTCAGGAAGGATGCCCTTAATTGATAAAAGTGGCATTTATAATGTAAAATTATTATTTTTTAAATTATATATATATATATACACACACACACACACACACACACAATCTATATAAATACAATTTATGCAAATATAATTTATATATTTTTAATTAAATAACTCATAGTATTTTAAAAGTCTGATTTCTAATTAATATTAATCATATTAAAATAAGAATAATTTCAATAATAGCCATTTTCATTATGCTGATGGCTAATATTAATTATTAATATTAAATATTAATTATTATTGATGATATTTATTTTATAATATTTATCATTATAATATACATTTTATAATATTGTTATTTTAAATACATGATACATATCAGTTAATATAAACAATTTATATAAATCTAATTAATGCAAATTAAATAATAAAATATTTTTATTTTAGGTCTGATTTCTAATTAAGTGAAAGTATTATTATTATTATTATTATTATATTAAAGTATAATTCTGGAAAGTATTACGGTTTCCACAAAAATATGAAGCAGCATAACTGTTGTCAACATTGATAATAATCAGAAATGTCTCTTGAGCAGCAAATCAGCATATTAGAATGATTTCTGAAGATCATGTGACACTGAAGACTGCAGTAATGATGCTGAAAATTCAGCTTTGATCACAGAAATAAATTACATTTTACAATATATTCACAAAGAAAACAGCTATTTTAAATTATAATAATATTGTACATTATTACTGTTTTTGGAATGGTACTGTACTTAAAACAAATGTTCACCTACAAATGTAAATTCTGAGGACAGAAAAAGTTCGGATTAACTGACCGGTGTTATGCATCTTCAAATGAATGCAAATGAGATCTGAAAGCAATACTTTCAGTGGATAATGATTTAAATTTCAACCTGTTCTTCAAACAAGTTCTCATATGGCTTGATATACATAGCAGGTCAAATTAATAATGTGATTATTAAATCAAATTAAACATGTGCCATTAAATATGCCAATCCAATTTCTAGTGCAAATATAAAACGATTCTATGAATGCTTTAAAAAAATGTTTTGACCAGGACATGGAAAGTGAAAATAATAACTGCAAAATCATGCAAAACTTCCACAGTGCTTTCTTTCACACGGACAAAACCGTTTTTCATGCACGGCACCCAATCGGCTCATTTCTGCTTTTATGGCGGCATATGAATCTAAGCTGGGTAAGCAGATAAACATCACATTTTCATTTTTGGGTGAACTATCCCTTTAATAAATACTAATAAAATAATAAATACTGCTAAAGCACCTCTCAGTTGCCAACATGATGCTAATACCACTAATAAGCTCTGATTATGAGCTCAGGATGAATGAGTCAGAGTTTGGGAGAGAGAAACGCGTGATGCCAGAGAGAAAGAAAGAAAGAAACAGTCGCCTGAGAAAGCGCCATTAGGAGAGCGCGGCAAATTTACAAGACCTAATAGCATTTATAAACACGCCACTCAAAGAGTGCAAGCCTCGAGTTTAATCGCACAACGGCACGTTATCGGGCTATTCGCAAGCGTGAAGCCTTCGAATAACAATTACACGCTCCGACGTCTCTTCTCCACATCCTGCTTCAGATCAGTCCAGGCTTTTATCCAAACTCCTGCGCCTTTCCTGCATGATGACAACTAAGAGACAGTGAAGTTCCCAGCACTGTATTTCATCAGCTCTCTCTGCCTCTTCCAGTGTAAAGTTGTGGAGTGATGTCAGCCAAACGCTCTCGTAGCACATATGAAGCGTGTGGCGGCTGCATCTGGGAGCCATTAGAGAGAAATACAGGCCTCTTCGTCATGTTTACCTCACGTCACTAAACAAGAAGTCTGGTTCTACACACAAACACACACACACATGGATGCGGTGCCTCATAATGTGTAAAAATACACAGGTTTAGTTTAGACCTTCTTGAGCTGAAACAAACATCTTAAACTAATCCAGGTTAGTTGGTCGCCGGGTTTTGGGCACTTTATTCGACCAGCTAAACACCAGCTTGACCAGATTGAGAGATTAGTATAAGCCTGTCATGAAATAATGGTCAGAAAAAAAATTCTTTTTAAAAAAATTTTTTTTTTTAGAAGGTATTACTGACAAAATATTTTTTAAATCCTATTTTTAAAAAAAGTTGTTAAAAAATAGTTTTTTGTTGATCATCATAATTTTATGGCTCATATAGCCTGACGTCCTGGGGCTATTGTATCTTCCAGTCGGGCTACCTGCTTGAATAACTTGAATAGTGATATAAAATCCCTCATCACGCTGATTCACGTTGTTCACTCGCTTTATAGGGGTGAAACAGATCGTACTTGATCATTTGCACGTGCTGCCAATTTAAACATGCGTTTTAAACCATTGAAGCGCATGAAGAGGTGAAAGAGAACTCAATTTGGTGCTCGAACAGAATCGATTCCTCTTTCACGTCTCCTTGAGCTTGAGCTTGAACGGACACATACACACAAAATCTCGGCAAGTGTTCTCGTAAACACAGTCGGTTGCGTCTTGAAGTGAACCTAAACAGTGGGGAAAGAAATCGGACGCGTATCATTATATCAGATCCGTGCATCTGGTCTTAAAGGGACAGAAGCCTATAAAAACCTGCTGCTGTCTGTGTCAATGTTAATCAAACATTTTTTGTACCTGACTAATGTTACTAATGTTACACCTTATTTTATTTTTAACTTTGTTCTAATTTATCTATGAAATTTGTTTATTTGTTCTATTATTATTACTTATTACATAATAATATCCAGAAATACATACAAGATAATCATCCTACACACAATGGAGCTCTTCTTCAGCGCTAATGGCCTGTAATATAACAAATGGTTTATGTTGCTACTGTATTAATCCAATGAGTGTTTTCCTCTATTTTCTGCAGGTACGTCCAAAAGATGTTATTTCAGCCATAATGTCACCGGATATGAAAACGCCTAGAATTGGGAGTTTTGAGGGAATGCTGTTTGTCCTGGCGGCCTGTTTTTGCCCTCGCAGCACAATCGAAGCGTGTCATACTTCATGGAAACCTCTAGATCTGTCCTGCCAGTGTCAATAACACCCCCGAAGGCTTTCCTGAATGCTGTGTCTCACAGACAACTGCGCTTTATTAGATAGAGAGGATGTCATCTACATCCCATCCAAACCAACACACAGAGAAAGAGGAGCCTCACATACCGCCCTCCTAAATAACCAAACTGCACCATCATCCATGGAGAGCAGCAACTGTATTTCACTTGTGTGGCCGGAAGAGGAGTCAGACTCAACGCGTCAGAGCAGAGGTCATTTACAGCGTCCGTTACGTAATTATGGCAAGTGCTAGCGTCTTTTCAGCGTTAAGCAGCAGAAACGCTTAAGGTCCTTTCACATGACTCATGTCAGGAAATAAACTGTTTTCGTTAATTGAAGTAACGCTGAAATAAAATAAAAAATAAACATTAGATAAACGTAGACAAAAATTACAAATGGTTCCTTGGCAACTAACTGAAATAAAATAAATTAAAGCTAAATGTAATAATTTTATATATAAAAGTAAAAAAAGAGAAGAATAAAAATGTGACTAAATTTCTAAAACCTAAACTAAGATTAAAATGAAAAACTGAAAATATAAAAATAGTAGCTACTTTAAATGCACCTCTCAGTTGCCAACATGATGCTAATACCACTAATAAGGAATAAATAAGGAAAAACATTATTATATATAAATAATAAAATATATAAAAAATATAAAATACATAAATAAATAATTTTAAATATTTATTCATTTTAAGTACATAAAATATATAATAATTTAATGTATAATGTAAAATATGAAAATATGAAATTTAAAAAATGAAAATATAAAAACAAAACCTTATTCAAAATAGTAATAAATACTACAACAGTGTATAATTAATACTAAAATAACACTGCTAAAAACACCTTTTAAAACAAGCAGCAACAACGGCTATAACTTTCGCATGAAAAGTGCAATTTTACTATTTATTAATTTGCACAGAATATTTAAGTGTGTATAATACGGGGCTTAGAAACCATTATTACCACTATTATCAGAAATTTCATCCCCCACTTTTTGGGATTTAAAAAAATTTTTTTTGGCTTGAACACCGTGTAAAGAAAACAATTACAGTAAAAACAACGACACCTTTGGCAACCGTTTGAACACAAATACATCCAAATAAAAAAATTTCACATCACATACAGTCACTTCCATAAACGCTTGTGTGATTTTTCTGCATCCTAGTGAAATCAATGAATTTGCAGAACATCCGCTTGATGCATCAAGTCGCAGAATTGAATGCTTTGGGAAACATGTGAAGAAGCCTCTGGTGTCATTTAAACATTTCCGCAAGAAAAACCCAAAAAACAAGAAGAAAAAAAAAAAAAAACAAGCAGCATACGAGAGTATGAGAATATAATTGTAGAATTACAACAGAATGAAAGCTGCATACCGTAAACCCCTTCAGACGATTTTGCTCCTGTTTAACCTCCTTTCCCATAATTCTGTGTGGGTCTGTTCCCACGCTGCTCTGGGTTTCAGGGTCACTGCTGTCCCTGGTTAATGAGGGGGTGGAGGGGAGTTGAGCTGCCTTTTCGTTCCTACAAACACAAACACTCAGCCATCAAATCAAGCTGCCGGCAGGACCGGAGGCCGAAGCCAAGAACACAGAAGCTTCAGCACTGGGTCTAATTATGTCCACGCTGCATTCACATTCGCTGTCACTCTATGGAGATGTATAACAGTGACTGAGAGCGACCCATGACAGCGGATTACACATCTGGTGTTAGTAACTTCCAATATTAAGCAATGTTTTCAAAACAAAGCCACTAAGACGCTCTACATCATGTCTTAAAATAAATATGCACATGGGAATAAATAAAATATTATATTATATTATATTATATTTATATTATATAAACACTAGTTTTTACACATTTACATTTCCTTGAGAAATGACGTAAAGTGTAAAGAAATGATAAGAAAACACCTTTAATAAGGAATAAAGCATTATTATAACATACATAAAATACATAATAAATAAATACACTTTTATGATTTTTTGTTAACATATTTTTATGATTATATAATTATATAAATTATATATTTAATTTCTATTCTATTCTGATTTATTATATTACATACATACTAGTTTACATTGACACTGATTTAAGAAAATGTGAATGGTGTTTGGTTTTGCAAAGTTTGCCACCATGATGCTAATGCCACTAACAAGTAATGCAGAATAAGGAAAAGCATTATTATATATTAAACATATTGATAAAACAATAAATAAATATGTAATGCACATAACATGCAATCTAAATAATCAAATCCAGACTCAGGCTTACGTTTTCACGTTTCGGGACACATGCAATGAGACTTCAAAAAAAAAATCACTCTTAGGGAACATAAAACCTGCATTTCTGTGAGTTTGTTTACAACAACATGACAAGTTCATCCCTTTTCTAAAAGTAACAGTAACGACTGATCTAACAATGATTAATGGCGCTGCTGACTAGAGCGAGTGGATGTGAACAACGACACCATACAGTATCCGGCCTGTCTTTATCCCGTTCATAAATTCAGTCATACATAATCCATAAATGCACTGCTGTGAAAGAAAACCAGAGCCAGCGTTTGACATGAACTTTAACTGCTCTAAATTCAAGACATACACAATATACAATACACAATCACTGGTATAACACTCGGGACGGTCAAGAATGGCTTTAAACAGCCACATATTAACAGAATCTGCTTTTATATTATGATTTCCATACAGAGTAATTTCCCTCAGAAACGTCCAGCTCGGCTGTGAACTTTTACTACGTTCACAGAACAGAACGAGCTGCTTGTGTATTATTTTACCATTAGTAACTATTGCCATAAATACATCTGCATTGCACAAATAAACCTATGCATTTAATATAAGGAATAAATTCCTGTAATTACAGGGATAAACATACTTCATCCTCAACCGAAGGCATAAGGAGGAGACGCCAGTCTTTCCGCAGTAAGCACACTAGTTATATTATGACTAACTGGGCTCAAGAGCAGGAATCGCAGACTTTTAAACCTCAAACGATGATGAAATCAATACGGACGCCTTAATAAAATACAAAACAAGCTCAAACTTGGATTTGGTGGCCAAACTGCAACAAACAAACAAACAAATGAGTTTAAGAGTAGTTTCCAACAAAATTTGATACCAGATGTTTTGTTTTGGTGTTTAGTGTTTTAAAACGTTATGCTAATCATGAGGAAAAATTGGTAATTGGTGTGCATAATATATTAATATTTATATATGTATTTAATAATTACTTATAATACTGTATATATATATATATATATATATATAATTTATAGCAATTATAATTATTAAATTGTTATAGTTATTTGCATAATTATTATTCATTTAATATATGTATTTATTTAATTTTTCATATAATTATTATTAGCTTTTATATTTATTTTACATTATATAATTTACAT